AAGAATTCTTACTTTATTTTACAGTGAAGTGTTCCAGAAGCCTTTACCCATTTAATTAAACTATTATTTTTAGGCAAAACTGGTCTCTAGAAATCTTAGCATATTTAAAACAATATCCTACATGGTAGGCAACGGATTTATGACGTTTCTTAGGCCACGGTAACCAACCGCATACAACTAGAGCCGTAAACTTTGAATTATTAAAAATATCAGGATTAAGTCAGTTTATATAATAGGGTAGATGCCTAATTTTTATTTTAATGTCCGTCTGGTAGATTATTTTAAATCATTAGACTCGTATTTTAGATTTTCTTACAGAAACGAATACTTTCGACGATATATTGATTTGAAATGTCGCGTGACGTCACTTCTATGTATATTTCATACGTAGAAATGACGTTTAGCCCCCACTCCTAAACTTTGATTCGTTTTATCTAAGTATTGTTTTATTATACGACAAAATTAAAAAAAATACGTGTCTAAAATTTCTCCATTACCTTACTTACGGACTAATTATATTTTTAATTTTCATACCCTGTCATCATACCAATTACATGGTACATGAAGATGAGAGTCCGCCCTCCATCTGCAAAATGGCCGAACAAAGTTGTTCAAGTTTCTTAAAAACATCCTTCAACATATCAAAAAGTCAGTACTACTATCGTTATATATTTGCCAAAATATAATTAAACACAAAGAAACTTTAATACTAAATCAATACTACATCATTAGAAAGTCCTTCAAACCGGCCAATATTTAATGTGTCCCATTTCATGATCAAATAAGCGTCCTTCTGACACATTTCTATTATTCATAGGCCGTTCGCGTGTCTTACAGAAGTCGATAAAAATACTAAAATACGTCCATTAGCCTACGTAGGAGCACTCCCCACAAATTGTGGCTTTTTATAATTCAAGCACCAATCAAGGGCAAAACGTGTTTCATTGTAAGTAATTTTCACTTACGTAACTATTTGAAGTAGCTTCGATTGTTACATTTAAACCAATATAATTAGAGCTTTAATGGTGTAAGAATTGTTGTTAAATGTGGCATGTATAAAGGTCCAATTAAAATGTTTTTTTAAGGGGGTTAATCATCGAATTACTGCTCCCACCTGCATGAGGCGGGAGGGAGAGTCAGACTCTTACTGACTAAAAACCACCCCGTTCCTTCTCCTGCACGTCGAGCCGGAGCCTCGGTAACCCGTTGGGTTCTCCGCGACTCCGACTCAGCATCAGCCCTGTTGAACCCCATCCGTGGTGGTCTGATGGCTCTTTGAGTACGTACGTACGTACGCTCGGGTCTGTTTCTGGTCGGACAGGGAGCCACCCATGCTCGCCGTCCGCAGACCCGCGAATTAAAGTGGTTAGGACCATACCTACATAGGTATCTTTATTTAGCGTTTGACTTACAAATACAATTGCATCTCGCAAATCTTTATATCCTTAATTACTAACAACTTAGATTGTTTTTGGCTACAGATAAAGAAAATCAAAAGAATAGTGAGAACATACATAGTTAGGTTCTCACATAGGTATCAGCTAGATTATTCTGTAAGATGTCAATTCGAAATGTCGAAGTGAGCTGGATCGCAGTCCGCCATGTCATTGATTGTGAAAATAATCTTAACCAATAACGGGCGAGAATGCGACCAGGCTCACTTTGACAGATCACACAACGCTTACAGAATAGACTAGCAGGTATCACTAATAGATATCTGTGTATCAATATCCGGTATATAGTGGTAATCAGGACATCCGAAAATCTGACACGCGACAGTTTACTAAACAGTGGATGTCAATATAAATATATAAATATAGAGATTCCCAAAAAGAAATCGTATACTTCTGAGGATAAAGAAATAATAAACAGTTAGGTATGTACGTCAAAGCTAAATAGGTACTACATACTGCATTAATTAAAATCTCTATGTCTCAATGACTGCTTTGAAATGCGCCAAAACAAAGCACAAATTCTATGACCTTTATCCTTCATGGTTATAGAATTAACTGAGAAAAAACAACAAACCTTAAACAACGTACAAACGAAAAATATATCATTATTTAATATTCAAATTATTAAAACGCAAGTACATACAATTCTCATGAGATGATTTATAATATACAGTCAGATTGTTCTACTCGATGTATCTAATGGACGTGAGAACGAGCCCAGATGCATTGTAATAGTTATAAGTACCTATGTATTCATAATATCTAAATTATTGTTTCATTGATTAAAACTATTGGATCAATTGTCAAACTGTTTCATGAGATCTTACGATTGATTTCCGAGTCACATGAAATGAAAGAAGTAGAACCATATATTCTGACGCATAATGAGATATTAACGCAGACATTTTTCGATCGGAGTTATATCACGGCCTTACAGAAAACCGACGTGAAACAACGCTTGCGTTGTATTTCGTCATGTGAGTGAGGTTGCCGGAGGCCCAATTACCCCCAACTCCTACCCAATCCCTGTTTCTCCAACAATCTTTCAGTTCTTAATCCCTAAAAAGCTGGTAACCCTCTTGTAACGCCTCCGGTGTTCTATTGCTTACCATTAGGTGGTCCGTCTGCTCGTATAACGGCTTATCCTATTAACGCCCTGTGACATGCTTCCGTAGCTTCTGTCTTTCACCATAGTCTCCGTGGTTAGTTGGTAAGAGGCTTATCAAAGACTGCCACTGCCCGGTCTTTCTCAAATTTGTGGTGCCTTAGTTCTATATTGTAGGCTCTAACGACACCTGCTAGAAGAATACAGTGCTAACTGGTATAGCAGCGTAACTATACCCCTTCTCTATAAAAAGAGAGAACTTCTGATCAGGGGCTCCTTCCAGCTCAGGGTCTGAGGCCCATTGTCGATTTGCTATCCTGTAGTTACGCCACTAAACATATAAGTGGGTATTTCATTAATGTATATACTGTTCAGAATTTTCTACATCTTAGAAATGTCAGGCAGACTAATAAATCTGCCAAAATACAACTAACATAATAATTTTAATTGTATTTTGTAATACAAATAGCATAACAATTTTAGTTGTATTTTGTAATACGATTAACATAATATTTTTGATGTATTTTGTAGGTGCCTCTTACCACATTTAGCGTTACAATTAAGCAAGCAGTGTTATCTGAAGCCCGCGAGTTATTATGATAACATCTCGGTATTCTCAGCTGTAACATACTAATTACTACTTACTTAAGAAGCTTGGAAAACTACTAATTTAGCCAGATTCTTCATAACGAGTTCAACCAGTGAACGTCTTTACTTACAATTTACATATATATCTTATTGGTTTTATCTAAAAGGATAAGAGAATAGTGTTGTAAATGATGATGTCGAGTTCAAACCAGACTCGTACGAACCTACTTACGTATAAACTACCTACGCTTAAAAATTGACTTCAACTTCAACTCCTTCCTTTCTTGATGTCGATTAATTAATGTATTAAAACATTCTCCTAAGTGTAACTAACGTCGCGGAGAACCTAACGGGTAACCGGGGCTCCGGCTCGACGTGCAGGAGAAGGAACGGGGTGGTTTTTAGTCAGTAAGAGTGTGACACTCCCTTCCGCCTCACCCAGGCGGGAGCAGTCATTCGACGATTTTCCCCCCTTAAAAAAAAAAAGTGTAACTAACACTTTTCTGGAAACCGCACCAAAATCGGTCCAGCAGATCGCGACATATTAGCTCACAAACAAACATACATACATACATACAGGTCAAACAGAGAACGTCCTTCTTTTTTTGAAGTCGATTAATAATAAAAAGGTTTCTTTTCAATTTTTTTTTGGTGTCATGGTGCTTGATATTTGGCATTAGACGTAGTTCTTTAAACAATGTAAAGATGCTGACTGATAGATAAAACCCTTACTGTAAATAACAGGTGTGATATATTGTTTTGCACCTTTCAATAACGTTATTATACGTAAGAACATAATAATATATTACTTTTAACTACACTGCTGATAGATTTAATATAAAAGATTTCTCTCAACTTTTTCAGATGTCCAAATTATTATAAACGAAACGAGACGTACTATTTCGCAGAAATATAGGTACAGTTTACTAACGTAAACTTTCGCTCCAATAAAACTACTATAATACATAGTATGAGTCCCGATTTAGCTTGAAACTATTCGAGCTTTGGTCAATTTACTTGAATAAGCTGTATAGGTATTTCAAGAAAACATATTTTCGCTTCTATTACTTCTATTAATAGAGAAAGTTACATTAATCTTCTATCCTTTAACATCAACACAGGATTTATTTAAGCATACAGTTTAAACTTTAAACGATCCAGTTTAAAATGTATTTTAGTGCATCCATCTAGCCACTAAAGTTGCATGTCTAACGCATTAGGTACAAAGATAAAATACCTGGATTAATTTATACCGTGGCAGATAAAGATCTAAATTACGAGGATGGTACTTCGATAAACACTAATCAGAACTCTACTTGTTAATTAAAGATTAAAATTACTCTTAAGGCGTCGGTTCCAGACGGTCAATTAGCAAATAACTTATAACTGGTTATATTAATTTCGATCTTATGTAGGAAGGTATTAGGTATACTTATGGGAAATGAAGTGAGTGAAGCTAATGCGTAGATCGAGTACTTATGTAGTGCAAAAATAATACCATAAAATCACCCTGGTGCATCATAAAAGACAGACAAACACTCTTTCGCTTTTATAAAACTTATGACGATGAGCATACCCAAGGTTTACCTGTTTGTTTCACTTATTCCTTTAATAATTTAAGTGCCGTACAGAACTTCCGTATTATTTTATGGGTCATGAGTTTCGCAATAAATACTTAGGATTAGATTGCAATCAATTTTGATTAGTATTTTATGATAGAAAATTATAATGCGTATCCCTCAGCGGCTGTAACCCATCGTGTTCAATTCCTGAAGCAATATTCTTTAAATACCAATAACAGTAACTGGAGGAATGAGGCAGCAATATTGAATTTGTGTTTCTGTTTGTTCCAGGGGCAAGTGCGGCGCCGGCCCGGCGTGCAGCTCAGCTCTGCTGATGATGACACACTGATCTGTGATGCTGACACAAACTGTGCTCTATAGGAAACTACGTCCTAGAGGACGACGAAGGACGTTGTAGATAAAATCGAATAGTTAACACTAGTTTATAAAAATGCAAGTGCCTAATTTTATACTAATCCTGGGCAACCGCCGCAACTTAATATTTAGGGTCAGCATAGTGGTCATCGTCGTGTTATTTTACGTAGCGTTGCATTATTCTGGTAATAGTGCCCCGGGGGCCGAGTGGGTGCCCATCACGGCTGATGGCTCCGAAAGAACTGCAGAAATAAGGTACCTCAAAGATGAGGAACGAGATATTACAGCAAATTTTACAGATGCAAACATGCGAAAGCTAACAGAGTTCACTTCCCAGAAAATAGCTATGACTACAATGTCCACTGTTAATAAGACTGCATCTAGTACAGCATCAGACGTAGAGAAGAATGTAAGTGCTGTGCCATCTGAAGCAAATATACTGGATGAAGAACCTTACGACGAGAATGTGCTAACAAACTCCACGCTGATGGCACTTAAAGCTATACTCGGTTGCAAAGACAAGGATTTCTTTCCTGAGACTTTGCAGCGGGGGGAGTATTGGGTGCTGAAGAACTACGTGCGCGCTAACCACGGCCCTTTGCAGTGTTATGAGACCATCACGACTACAACGCATGGTGGCTTCGAATTCCTTGATAACCTGGTTCCTCTAGTAGAACGGTGAGTTTTTTTCTTTTATTGCGTAATTCCAAGATTTAATTTAGTTGTTCGAGTCCAGATTTTTCTTCAAGTGATACCATCAATGTTGGCACTGGTTTTGCATTGTCGTCATTGATTGTTACTATATCAACAAAACAATAACCGAATGAAATAAGAACAACAATGTGTCTTTTGTTTTCTGGGTCATTGACCGCTTGCTGTCAAAAAGTGATCATGCAGGTTTTGAGTATTAGGCATACTTAGGTCCATGACACATCATTTGTTAGTGTAGGCTTCATTCAATACGTTGTCAATTTCTTCATCGTTTAAAGAAAAAATACCATAGTTATATTTGCATCAAACTGTTCACATAAAACACGGGCTCATTGTGTTAGTTGATATAATACATTACACATGGGTAATTAATTACATTATTACATTCTATTATTATATTAGTCATACACTTTCATATATTATATATTCGCCTTGACGTTAATGATTGGAAAAAATATTAAATAACGTCAGCTAAAAGTTACATACTAATGGCGTTTAGATACATATAACGGACGGAACGGATGAAATTATCTCGAACATGCCTAATGTATTTTTGATAAAACAAGGTCGTAATTACATACTAAAATAAATATGTAGAGGCGTTTCAACGATAAAAATACTTTAAATGTATGTTAGAATCTTTCACACGGCTTAAATAGAGTAGCCATTTTAATGATGTTAGCAATAATAAGAACACTTCAAAGATGCAATTTTTGTACCGTTTATATTAGAAAGAATCATGCTAAATACGTGTCTATTTACTTGATAGTAAAGTTGAAAATTGGTTGCACTATCTAGAGCAGGAATTACTCAGCTATTGCTCGAAAGTAGATAAAAAGTTTTACGCTTCATGTTATGCAGATTACTAGGTTTTTATGTCTTACTAGCTTACCCATTAATATTTTCTTAATAAACAATAAAATATAATACGTATGCCGTAATATTATGAATTAAAATAAATGACGATTCACTTCAATGAAGTTTAGAAATAAAGGGAGACAATTATGGGGTCGTAAACGAGCCATAAAACCGTTTACAATTCCATTTGTCTATTTATAAGAATGGAGATAGATTACAGGTTTAAGTATTAGTAACAGACGTTTGGAACTTTGATGACTTTTTAAAATAAGACAATGGTTCTAAACGTAATTAAACACGATCCTATTAAGAAAATATTACTGTAAAGATCGCTTTAAAATGTCTGCTAATAAAAATAAAATACCCAAAGTTATACTTAAATTATTACGTATGGCAACTCAACACATTATCCTGGTTGACTGACACATGTCTACTTAGACGTTGATTTGAAAATCGAATAACAAAATGGCTTCCACAAAGCTTGGTAATCATATTTGCGAAACACAATGATACTTTATGACTGATCGTCCCAATTTAGTTATTTGAATGTCATTACAATTATTTCGTCATATGGACTGTACAATAAAATATAAGTAGGCAATGTGCATACATCAGCAGCTATATTCATAATGGTACAATATCGAGTACTGTTGCAATAATGAATGAATGCTCACATTGAACGATTTGAATTCTAAGTTACATTATATTATAATTAGTAACCTATTGATATAAAAAGTGAAAGTCGATTGGTACCAAGGCAGGATGCAATCCTATAATTCCGATTGAAATTAAGATAAAAAGATTTGCAACATCTTTTATTCAAAAGCTATTTAATGTATGACAATGAAACGTGAACCCAGTGAATTAGGTAAGACAAAAAACTAAGTTGAATTTAAATACAAAAGATTAAGAATTATTAAATTGGTGTCGTGTTTATTTCAAATTAGTTATAATTAGACATCACCGCTTCGATGGTTATTCATGCAACAAATTATACCGTGTGCCGCATTGTAATTACTATTTTTTGACACCGTTATAGGCATATTCTTAATTACAGTGTAAGGCAGAGGAACACGATATTATTAATTGTAATTCCTACTCACCATTAGTTACTGATTGTAATTGACTTGCTTAAATTAAAAGTACCCTTAACCGATAAGCATGCATGAAAACACTTATTACTGGTTATGAAGCGAAAGAGGTATGTACCTTGTAAGAATCGCCGCAATTGGCGTTCTATAGACTCTGCCTACTCCATGGGTTACAGGTTTTTGGTTATGTATGTATGTACATATGACTTGTAGGTAAATAATTAGAACTGGCTTAATAGTTTAAATTGAGTATCGTTTTCTATGACCACTTTGAAGTTAAACATTCCTAATAACACTGCAGAATTCATAATTAAGTTATGCGTGTTATGTTCCATAGAAAAATAATCAAAGTCGTATAAATAATGAATTAGTGTGCGTTGTGAATAGTAAAATATTCTTTTAGCTGTGGTAACCCTGACTCGATTGTCACCTCACACGAAGTTATGGCCGACACAATGGGTCCACCGCTCGCCATAACGAAACTATTCCTAGAATTTTATTGCATAGTGTTCTTTATAGTTTAATGCATTTTTGACCTGGAATAAAATTTCGTAAAGTCTATTTACTATAACTATTGTTATGAAAAGAAGTTCCCAAATGATCGTTCTTAGTAAAATTATAATTCATGTAATCATGTTTCACTTTTACATCTTTACTAATTTAAAAAAAAACAAGAACAAACTTCCGTAAATTGTTGCCAGATTAAAATACATAAAATAAAGTCTCCCATGAAAATCTAATTATGTTGCATTTTATTAAAGTAATATGCAGCTAATAGGCATATCATAAAGATTAACAAGTTAATATTCAGCTACAAAACCACATGTAATAAAGATTAAATTTATTAAAACGATGTAGACTTTAAAATCATGGAACTAAAGTTTTATTTTGATCAAAAGAAAAAATGAGAAAATTTTTAGTAATAGCGAAGTATTGGGGCCAATTGCTCACCCATATTTTAATTTAGAGCGAAAACAATTGATGTTATATTTGCTAGATACCTAACGAAGCATGAATGTAATCAATTCATTACAGTTTCATCTAATCCATTATCATTGGAAGTTGGAAGGCTGTAACAACCTAAATACAATAGACAATAAATAAAATGATAAAAAAGCCCACTAATGGAGCCCACACAAATATTCTAGAACATTTAAAAATTGACGCATAAGTCTGTCCGTTGTTGGTATATAAGAGGACCCTCTTACAGATGCTAATGTTAGCCAGCGGGATGGTTTTAGTGAGATAAAATTCCCGTATTCCCTAGTCTTCACTCCCAAAAAACAAGTTCTCAAAGGTTAAAGGATACTTTCTTCATGAAAAAAAAGTACCTACCCTAATCTTATAGGCATTTTCCAATGACCTCTAGAAGACTGATAGGATAGATCTGCATCCAACGCCTGTCTCCAATCTGGAGCAACATAACATAACATAACATCACGCCTTTTATCCCCGAAGGGGTAGGCAGAGGTGTACATTACGGCACGGCACTTAATGCCATTGTACAATGTAACACCCACTGTTCACTACTTATGTTATGGGTCCTATGTAATATGGGGTGAGCCATATACCGGGCATAATTCCGGACTCTGTGCTACTACTGAGATTTTGTGAAAAAAACCCAGTAATATTTGCGACCACTCGACCACTCTTTATCAAGCTGTACATAATATAAATCTAATTGACGTATTTATTCACCGAATATTATACACTCTATTTAGTATCCATTTAATTAATTAAAAAACAAAATTCGATTTCATAAGCGAAATTGACGTCTTGTTTAGCGTTTGTATCTTGATTAGGTCACCCTAAATGTTATACCGGTGACCTTTTTATAGTTCAAAGTTGATTGGCCATTAGTTATATGGCATATCTATTGGTGCAATAGAATTTCGTATATAAATTAATATACCTACATATATATATAGTACCTCCCAACTACGGGGGCCCCCAATATGCGCAAGTTTAAATTAATGAAACTTCTTAATTTTTATATCATTTGATAAACGATATTTTAAAAAAATATCCTCACTCACACGACGAAACACAACGCAAGCGTTGTTTCACGTCGGTCTTCTGTGAGGCCGAGGTATCACTCCGGTCGAGCCGGCCCATTCGTGCCGAAGCATGGCTCTCTCACACTTAAATCACTATATGATAAATTTGTATACATCACGATATATATACATAATATATTTATTAGTTCATCAGAAACCTTAAACTGTGTACATTAGGATGTTTTACGATACATAACGATGTCGCTTTACGTAACGACGTAAGGCTTTTTTACTGCATTCGGGGAAATTTTTATTACTGCTATAATCAGAAAAGTGTGTCAACATGATCACCACATTAAATCGTTGTTTTATGAGAAAGATAACGTGATGTACCTATGTGCCTGATTGGTATTTAAAATTATAATACGCAATCACTTATATTTTAAAATCTATATCTAATAAATACTTAGGCCTCACTCCCGCCTCACCCAGGCTGGAGAAGTCATTCGATGATGTTCCGCTCTTAAAAAAATGTTTGTTGTTGTGTCAAAATCGTATTAGTTGTGAGGACCATCTTATTAAATAAATAAATGTGTATCAACCATTACATAATTATTACAAAAAAAACCCTCGCACATGTTTTATTCACGATCAAGTCTTGCTTGCTGTTCACTAAGTTAAATAAGGTTATGATGTTATGTTAAGCAAAACATAGACTTATTTATTTACATACTAACACAATCGCGCTGTTTCATTCCCGCGATTCACCCCTTCCTCAATAAACGACGTATCAACACAAAAATATTTTTTCCAATCGAACCGTTCCTTTGATTAGCGCATTCAAACAGACAAACCAACAAACAAACTATTCAGCTTTATACATAATTATAATAGTAAAGTATAAGATATTATGTGTCTTCGTGTTGAAAATAGGAAGTGAATACAATAGGCGCCGAGGATTGCTCGTGAAACCGCGCGGATGTAACCAGAAAATAAATAAATTGGGCAGCCACAAAAGCAC